CACGTAAATCTGTCCAGAGCGTGTATAAGTTACACGTCTAAAAATAGATCGCTAAACTTTTCCTCGCTGATAATTTCAGAAACATCGTACAAGGAGATAAAGAGAAAAAGAGTCAGGGATCGTGAAAAAAAAAAAGCAATTCTTTTGTGTAAATTTTCGACTCATTAAGGTCGTATAGTGGTACATTTCTTCGAAGACGAAACCGGTATTGGACGGTGTCTTTGCGCCGATAGAGATCGACTCGTTTTTGCTCCGCGTATGGAGGTCCGCTGTACATTCCGGAAACCACCCACGTGCCCACTTATTTGTTCGATGGTTATCGATGAATTTCACTTTTTTTTTTTTTTTCTTTACTTTGCACTCCAAAATTCCGAGACAGAAGTGTATGCGCTTCGACACATTTCTAATAGTCTTTTTTTTTTTTTTAATTTTTTTCTCTTCAGTGTGTCGCAAGTAATGTTTAAATGGACGAGTAATAATAATGACGATAATAATAGAAAGTGCGCAATTATCGGGTGAATCTAATTAATTTATATTATAGAGTGGTTGTCTCTATAATAAATCGCAAACTCATTATTTTTCAATGAGGGTACAAATTCATGCCGATGAGAATTAAGCTGATTGAGAATTCAATGTTTTAATCTTGATTGTTTCAATGATGTATTAATATTCATCCAAGATTATTATTGCACTGTGACTGAATAATGCATTGTTTCAAAGAGATTGAAAAAGATTCTTCTAATCTAATAAAATTTTCCTAAAGAAATTAATTTTCTTTATTTTTCCATTCTCTCATTAGACAAATTATTTTTATGTGGATGATAAATAATCACATTGCACAAACAAATCATGCATATTTAATTACACGCTTTAACGATTTTTTTTTTGTTTCATAAGATATCTCACAAAATCTTTTGTGATTAAATGGAAAGATGACTTAATCAGGTAATTCCTTTATCGCGCGCAAGGAATGTGCCGAGATTTAATCGCAACAAATAAATATAAACAATGTAGTCTTGGTCGTGCGACCTTCTGGGTGTTCAGCAGACGTGATTACCACTACGCTACGGAACCATAAGGTATTAGAATTGTATGTACTGTTTAATAGATAACATGATAAAAATCAAGATCGATAAATCGTTCAAGAGTACTTAACGCGTTTTATCTCGATAATGATATGTAATTGCATAAAATTAAAATCTGAGTACGAAAACAGATTAACACATAAAATTGTAAAATCGATTCATTATTGATTCTCCTGTAATATATTGAAAATAGAGCGTCATCGAATGCTTTCGCCTCCTTTTTGTTTGATGTGAATGAGATATTTATTCATGAATAATAATAGCAACAATAAAAATAGTAAAAAATCACAAGAAAACTATTAGTCTAATACTTGTACGTATTACTTTTTTTATAAACTTTCAAAACAATTGTCTTTCGTTCGCCTTTATAATTTATGTGTAAAAGGATTGTATAAAATGTTTTAATAATAAAATTTTATTATTTTAAAATTNAAAAAACCAAACAACCAGCGTATGGATAACCAAAGTATTTCACAAGTTCAATATTGAACGAAATTTATGCTATTGACTTTCGATATTTCATACAGAATATTATAAAAGTTTATCCATCCCGAGCCTTCTATTTCCTATATTTTAATATAAATTACTTTAAGGAAGTTATTCGTCACTTTAGTCTTTAGACGCTTATTGCAATTATTCACAAGAATACCTCGCCTTTTTCCGAATTGAAAGAAAAGACATTTTATTAGTCCCAGCTGCGATACCCTCATCCTCTCGCGATATTGCAAATTTCTCACACGTGGGTGCGGAAGAAAAAAAAAGATTCAGAACAACCGGGGGGTGTGGGGAGGGACTCTTAACTTTACATGGCTACTTTCAAGATTTATCATCTGTCGGCGTACGTAAATTTTTTCCCTTTTTTTCTCTTCTCCGGCTATTACACTTTAATACGCGTAAATCTAGCCGCTACCCGTATACGTTAGCCGGCGAAACGAGGCAAAATAGAGATAGAGAGAAAGTGGGATAAAGAGGGAACAAGGCAAAACTCCGGGGCGCGTAGAAAAAATAAAGAGCCGAGGGAAGTTCAATAAAACTTTCGCGTGCGCGCGTTTTATGTACTCGAGCTGGCCCTCGAGCTTTGAGCTTTCGCGAACGTTACGTTGCAAGCCACGAAAAATAATTTAGGTAATGCAGTCCTCGATCCCCTGTGGGATGATGATTTTTTTTTTTTTTTTTATGTGAGTTGGTTTAATTTTTTTTCTTCTCCATTGGCTCCGTGGATTCGGTCTCACCTTTTCGATGTTTACTTTAAAAACCCACCCTTTTTTCCAGGATTTCTCTGTTTTTTCAAGGGAATTGCGTTAGGCGTGTATTTACAGTGAGATCTGAAATTTCCGAGACAGTTTGAACTGAATTAGCTGGAAAAATGCTTTTTCCAGACTGAATAAAAAAAAAAAAAAAAAAAAAGTTTCTAATTTTTTAAGTGCTTTTTGCGCTCCTGAATTGCGAGTTGCGACGTATGATGTTTAATTTTCAGTTGATTGTACAAACGGTAAGTTAAAGTTTCCACACAAAACACATTTAGCGGATGAATGGAAGGAGAGAGAGAGAGAGAGAGAGAAAAAAAAGCCTTTCAATTAAAACTTTTATTCATTTAACATAATGAACTGAGTTTACCTGTATACCCGTATAAGTCAAAATTAAATGGACAATCAACTATGCGTGTATGAACTACAATTCACTTTAATTGCAAAGAAATTAAAAATTTTATCATCATCGGCTATCGTCGAGCAAGGCATTATTGAATCAATCGAACCATTAATTTGATTCATCCTCCCGTGCGCCGATGCTGTATACTATTATTGGATTTCGATTGCGATAAGAGCAAAAGTACTTAATCAATTAACAAACAAATTATTGTTTGTTGAGCTATTTCGTTCGCGATATTGATTCGATATGCCAGCAAAATTCTATTTTTCAAACAAAATGTTCCTTGCGATTAAAAGTTTTCAGGCACGTTTGGAAATAGTATGAACCATAAAATTAATTTCAAAACGCTAACGGGGCAATTTACCGATTACAACCATCACCAATCGCAGAGCCCGTAATAGAGCTGTAAAACGATTAAGATTTTTTAACGGCAAAACCAAAAGAAAGAGTTTAGAACTAAAAGCAGAAAAAAAAGATGAAATCATCACTCGATGCACGGCAATTACGATTATTGTACCACATCACATTGCAGCTGCAATTAACTCTTTTTTTTTTTCTTCTTCTTCTTCTTTGCATTTCACGTACATTTTTTTCTCCTCTAATTACGCGTTGGTAAAAAATAAACAAAACTCTGCAAAATCGTATTAAAATCCGGTGCGCTTGATGATGATCGCAACAAAATTCTTTATGTATAGATCATCGAGCCGTGTGCTAGTATATGTGGAAAAAAAAAAACCGACTACACGCCGCAATAACAATCCAACGTAACGCAGCGCATTGTTCGCGCACGCATATTTATAACACAGGAGTATAGAGGGAATAACGCACCTTACAAAATCTGCGCACCACTTATAAATATAAATATACCGGAGCGCTCGGCGTGTACTGCGTGGGTATAATACGTGTTGTGTATCGTTACATCGCGATCGCAGTACGCGGTCTTTGCGGTGAGCATACGTACATACAGCTGTACACACGTATGTACCTACATACCCAGTGATGGTATACGCAGTTCAAGTTCACATCCTTCCATCATCGCACACGGCAGCAAAGTCGGGATAACGCGATCGGCGATCCGTTATGAAAACAAAAGAAACCATATCTCCCTCGCTCATCACCATCATTGTACTATATACATATAATAAGTGCTTTTTTTCTCCCCCCCCCCATCCCGGTCCCCCGTCCCCAGGACTCATTATCCTCAGGTGTATAATAGGAGGCATGGCAATCGATATTGCATTCCTAAGAGAGATCGGTATATATACATGTACATACATAACTCTTGTGCATTATAGATCGTATATAAACACATGCACCGATGCTGATGCTTCTTTTGCTCTCCAGAGATGAGAGAGAGAGAGAGGTACTCGCGTGTATATAATATATAATATACACATAACAGTATGGGTCCTTTGGCGAGGGGGAGGTGTGTATATATATACGACTCGAGAGTCTCCGAGGAGCAGAGGCAATAATATCATCTGACTCCCTCTCGCGTGTACGCGCGCTCAACCGCAAAAAGAGAGGAGCTACAGGACTCCTTTCTCTCGCGCCTGTACACTGCACATAATATTAGGTACGCCTTGGAGAGAAAACATTGTATAATGATGTATATAATTATAATGGCTGACCGTAACCCGCCGCGCAACTCTCGAAGAGAGAGGTCGAGTGTGCCCAATCACACACACACGCACTCTCCGTCTCTTATTTTGTCTTGTATAAATGTCGTACAATGTTGTTTAAGCGCGTCTCTTTTTTTTTTTTTTTGCTTTCAGGAGTGCGAAAGGAGCCGCATCGATGGCCAGCAGTTCTCACCGGTATGTGCCACTGCGTCCGAGGAGCATCTTCAGCCGCGAGGAGAGGAGAGGACGCGGTGGTGGTGGTGGTGGTGCCGCAGCGCAAGGACACCGATGACCGCGACCACGCGGCTGTTAATCGTCGTCGATGATACTCTGTGACGACAAATAGTGGGCTACCTCCACCCACTTCCGTACCTGCGAAAGTATAATTATAGAAAGGCGAGTTTAGTGCGCGCGTGTATGTGATTTGTCTATTGTGTCCGCGACGATGACTATCGCAATGTCGTAGTCGCGCGGCGATACTCACACGCGCTGTACTGTGTGGGTGATGCCAGTGCTGGTGGAAAAGACGCGAGAAGTTGACGAGGAGGAGGAGGAGGAGGTGGTGGTGGTGTCCGGAAAGACGATAAAGAGGAGGAGGAGGAGGAGGAAGATGGTCAGGCAGTGCAGGTAGCGTCGAGGCGAGCGCGGGTCAAGCTCCTCGGGCTCTAGAGCTGGAGCTGGAGGAGTCATTGGTGACAGTGGTGGTGGTGGTGCGGGCCAATGCGCCGCTAACATGCACCCGGTCCTGCCTACCGCGCTGCTACTCTGCTGGCTCGCCCTCGTCGAAGGCCTGCCCCTGCAGCCCATCGCACCGGGCCGAGGTATGAGGCATTGGATATTGTGTCGCGTTGTTAGACTCAAGTCGACCTTTTCGTAATAAGGGCTACGTGAAAAACTACCTCTAAAAAAAATTATTGTGTTTCATTCAAGGAGGGCACGTTGGGAAGAAAAGGAATGATTGGCTTTTTTAGCTGAGCTAGTATCGATAGCAGGGCTTGGGGGAAAAAAAATTCAGAAAAAAAAACAAAAAAAAAAAAAACGAACGACAGGGTAAACTTGAATTGGAAACAATGTACCTACAGTTTTTTTTTTTAGTAAGACGTCATGTAAAATTGATACTTACCGAGCGAGATGTGCTCGTCTGGGAGTGGCAATTAATTTATTTATTTATTTTTTTTAATACCTCATTGAAATGAGCTCGAATAAGTACTTTTTCTCAGTTCCATCGACAAACTGTAATGTAAAGTACAGGGGAAGATAAGTTGAACCGTAGCGAGTAAAATTTTGGAAAAAGTGACGAGTCATCATTTGTCAATGGATTATTTTTAAACACAAGTGCACCAGCATCAGCTAAAACAATGGTACAAAAGCAAACCTTGGGCCAGCGCGGATAAAATCATCCACAATTACGCCGAGATATCACGCTCGCGGGAGAGATAATAGCGAGAGAAAGAGAGAGAGAGAGAGAGAAACAAAGGTACATAAATTTAAATTAACGCGCGAAATCGTAAGGTCAACTCGGCGGAGAAAAAAAAAAAAAAAAAAAAAAAAAAAAAAGAGATAGAGAAAAAAGAAAAAAAAAGCCACTAGCCTGCACCTAATAGAGCTCGCGTCAAGGCTCCCGCACTCGTTTATCGCGCGATCGGCGTCAAGGAAAATGTCACCTCTGAAAATACTCGCACGCGCGCGCTATTTCCCGATCTCTAATTGAGAAGCTTTACGTGTACACCTATGCACGCGGGCTCGTTACATTGGCGTGCGACAACAACGGTATTCGGTCCTCATCATTAGTACGCGGTTTTTTTTTTTTTCCTTCTTACGTTTAAAGTCTCCTGGGAAACAAGTGTGTGTGTGTGTGTGTGTGATGCTGACGATGATTCACGCGTGTCAACGTTATACAGTACGCCAGGAGTAGAGAGAAAGGAAGAACGAGAAGAAGAATAATAAGGATGCCCAAATGCCTGCGGAACAAAACTCGTTCTCAGGAGAGGGATCAGCGACACTTACTCGGCGATTCGCCCGCAGCTTTGGTTTTATTGGCTCGCGTTTTTTGTGTTATTGTCGTTGTTGTTGTTGTTGTTTCTGCGAGAGCGCGTGAAGGTCTCGCGCATTGTTGGGGGGGAAGTATCATTGTGTTGGACTCGCGAGGAAAGGCGCTAAGTTTCTTGTAACATTAATTAGTTACGAATTGAATTTTTCTCGTTTCGCTCCCTGGCTTTGAGTTTTTTTTTTTTTCCATTTCTTTCTTTTTTGAACGAACAATACAACAAAAAATGTGGAATCGGAGCGACTGAAAATAAAAACAATTTACTTTTTTTTTAACACATCTTTGGGGCGAACATTTGAAAGGAAATAAAAAGATTTGTGAATATTCAATTAGTTAAACGTGGCATGTATATTTTTTCAAGCCCTTGTCTAAATTGGTATAAAATTGTCTTGGTGACCCTTTTGTCAATGGTTTTTGCGATTAATTTTTCATTTACATTTTCTCCAAAACAGTAACTTCAACAACAGAAAAAAAGAAAAATTTGCTTACAGAACCATAATATGAAATACAATAAAAAATTTCTCAATGTTTTACACTCAGACGTGTACGCGCTTATGTCCTAGGTTTCTGAAGTGATGTGTCAGTTGAAAATCTTCGTGAAGTGTACCCTGAAAAAGTTATATTTTTTTAATGCAATTGCTCTTGACGCGCACCTGTTTTGGTCTATGTGAAACGCCTCTCTTTCCGTTGAAAATTTGTATTTATTCACTTACAAGAATAATTGAATCGCGATGAAAAAAATACGAACGTGCTTATTTCCTCTCAATACGGTACAAAGTGACGAATCGACGACAGCAACGACGAACACCATTTTTCATTCCCCAATGCCGTTATTCCGAAAGCACTTGCGTAACATTTCGTAAAGTAGCATCTGGCATTAATTATTGTGCGAATTGTGTCAGCGTTTTCCTTTTCTTGCTCCACTGCAGGCACTCGCAATCATAAAAATGATCACAACTCCGGCGTAACACGAGAAATAGTTTGGAGATAACCGGGATACCTGTAACCTTTCATTTTTCCAAGTATCTTTCTCCGTCTTTCGCAGTTTCATCTCGTTTTCTGCGACCATCAGAAAAAGAAAGAGAGGAAAAAAAAACTTTGACGACTCGTTTCACGATAATTTCGCGCAAAAGCACTCGTCTAATAACATAGCGCTCATGGGCCCCTACAGACTTTTAATGGTTACCGCGGCGTCTGTAATAACCATGCCCTACTTTCTACGCGATACGAATACCCGATGATTTATCATGATTGGCCGAAGGATCACTCACTGCGACGGTCTCGGAGATACAGCCACGTATAGAAATGTTACAAACCTACGTATCCCATCGATCAATTTATATGAATTTTGAGGCCCCCCACCCTCTCTCTCGTGCATGATTTGATGATCTGATAATCTGATACAAGAGTCTGTAACGATCGTCTTAACGATATAGACTGAGCCTGATGAGGTTGGCGTTAAGACCAACGAAACGTTGCTCAAACTAACACCTGACTTTGGAGTTTTTATTCTCACTCCTAAATTAGCTCTTACTGATCGTGTGCTTATGCACTAAACCTCAAGAAAACACCTGCATTTAAATTATAATTAGTCACGTGTGTATAGTGAGAAAAATTAATCTCTCATTACTACGCTGACATGATTTGGAACATCAAAGGAACTAGTTGCTCGAAAGAAAAACCAAGTTTTTTGAATTTTAATACCACACGAGAAAAAAAAAGAGCCGTTTAAAAAAGTCCTCCTTGACGAACGCGGTATGTCACAATAGCACACACACACACATGTATACACGCGCACGGAGATCGACAACAGAGAAAGGAGAGGCACACGACACACAGGATACAAGAGGGAGAAAAAAAATCTCGCGCCGTCTCTTTGTTCGGCTATCTTGCGTCAGCGCGTTTTCCAGATCCCCCTCTCTCGTGAAAGTGCGTTGTCCTCTCGAACGGCGCATGCACTCGGCATAATTGACGGGCGCTCTTGAACTTATACGCGAGTCCCTCCTACGCGCTTTCCTTATTCTTTCGCTCTTTCTTTCTCGTCCCGAGAGAGAGCCAAGCAATTAGCTTTGTACTCCACTCGATGTATATAGGACGCTTTGCGTGCTTATATATATATATATGTGTGTACTTATCTATGTGTACCGCACCACGGATGGGAAAAACCTGCAAACTCTCGCACGACATACATTTGTGTACGGGAATCTAGGCGCAGGACGTTGCGTGTCCTGGCGGAAATCTGCGCGAGAATGAATCCGTGGTGTGTCAAACTCGTTGAGATTTTTTTTTTTTTTCCCACCACCGTTCGCGAGGTTTTCGAGTGCGCAGAGACGAGCTCTCTGGATTAACGATACGCGCTAGAGAACTTTCGGGCACTCGGGAAAATTAGTAATTTTTTTTTCTTTTTTTTTTCGTACTCGTTGAAATTGAAATTTTAAGCTGTAAGCTGCTGGAAAGTTGAATATTTCCCTTGATTTCAAACTCGTATTTTTAAAAGCTTTAAATATACTATCAATGTGCAGGTAAAGGATGAACCAAGCATCGATGGGAATCGCGAGTTTTTTGAGATTTTAATTACGATCCGATCGAGTGGTTTCATGTTTAATGAGAACGTATTTAAGTATCAATCGTTGTTTTTTTTTTTTTTTTTATACCGAGCAAAAAAGTTATTTTTTTAAATTAATTTCAATGGCACCACCGATAAATCTTGTTTAGTATTTAAAATCGAGTAAAATAAATGTTTTTTTACAATAATTAACGAGCATGAAATTATTACTGAATATTTTACTGGTTACCTATACATTTTACACAATAACAAAAAAAAAGGTCTGCTAGTCGAAATACATAAAACTTGTTGGTTTTTTTTTTCCACCGTTAAAAACCTCTTCGGCGTAACAGTTTCTAATCGTACAATTTCAAGCTTTTTGTCGTTCTCGGTTTTTCTTGTGTCCGAGAGCTACGGAACGAGAGAAAAAGTGGGGTTCGAGGGCCAGGGCTTTGATGATTTACACGAGCGAAGACAAAAAGTCGCTCCGGTAGGTTTTAGGTGTTAATTCCCACGGCGGCGTTGTCTGTACGTGCAGTATGTGTGTACCCGTGATAACGGGAATCGTGTGTTAGCATTTTATTCTCCGTCTCCGTGAATGCATGTTTCGAAGAGTTTTTTTTTTTTTTTTTTTTTCCCTTAGCCTCCCGTGTACAAACACGGGTACCTATTGTACGATCCAACGAAGAAGCAAGATTTTTTTCGTGCTATCCGACAACGTCGAGCTGTGGGTGTACCTGTGTCTACCTTTTCTCGCTCGATTTAGTTATGCTGATTTTCTTCTGTCTTGGGCTCAATACCCCCACAAGTTTAGAGTACGGTTACCTACAATGTCCTGGCGTTGTCAGATTCACGTTTCGAGCGAATGTCAGATACAAATCTGGCAAATTCGAGGGACCGTGTACGTAGTCTTGGCCAACCCGGGTGACGCATGTAGGTGTGGGAAGTGTACATTGAGAATAAAAAATACAATCGAAATAATTTTTAAATCATTTTGAAGTGATCAACTTGTTGAACAAAAATACAATCTACCAACTAATTTTCTCTTTTTAATAATACTAGTTATGTTTGAACGCACTTGGCGCGATCTAATGTTATATAAACCAACACGCATATACCACCATACCTAAAGAGATACAAAGTTTTGCTTACATTTTTTCGCTCTTTTAATCTTTATAAACTAGCAAAAGCTTTTTAATCTTTCGTAATTTTCAATTTAAACACCACAATATAAATAAACGAATAAATAACTGTTTTAATAAAATTTGATCTGACTTACATTAGGAGTACTGAATAATTGCAAAATTAAAGTATACGTCACGTATAAGTTCATTCAATGTTAACTTTAATCAAATACTATTGTTTGTCGAGTTGTTTCTTTAAATAGGACATACAAGTGGTACAGTGTACCACTAGGTCATTTTCACATTGTAAACTCATTTCATTTCAAATCCTACTATACAATTCAACCCACGTGATCTGCCTTAACTAATCATACAACGCAAACAAAAAATTTAGTCACGTGACAATTACTCGCTTTAAATAGGATAAATTTAATGCGATATGGATTTAACAATATGCAGAAGCCAATGTTCAGACTTAATTCACCATCTAGTGTAGTTTTAACAAATATCTTAGTGAGAACTATTTGATTTTAGGCAATGAATAAACATTTTAAGTAGCCAATTTTTTACACACCCAACACATAATAAAAAGGGATTGAAAAATATTTTTTTAAATCCCATCTTAATTTCCCAACTAGACTTTGATTAGGTATTAATCGTTATAAGAATGATATACATATCAACATTAAATTCTACCCATACATACCTAACAGCAATAGACGAACCAACCAAATAAAATGTTGCACCTGTGTCTCCCCAACTAAAAATTTACCCAGACCCTTTGTTTACGTTTCTCTCATTTTCTTGTTTGTATAATATTGTCCAAATCTTTGATAAATCCGGAAAGTTCATTGCAACCAAACCACAGTGTACTTCTGTATACATATACCAGCAGCAGGATCAAGCTGTGCCAACCTCATTCCTCGGTTTTTCCATTTGATTATTGGCTAGCTAAATGCACTTCTAAATGCAGATTAAATAACAGCCATCAAGATTACCCTAATTTTCGGTAACTTTCTCGCTTGCATAACAACCAACTCGCGTCAACCGCAAGCAGTCTAAGTATATGAATAGAGATACAATGTATACAGTCCATACCTGTCCTGTAAAGTCGAAACGAAAAGGGTGTACAAACGTATACAAATTCGCCGAGTTGGCTGAAAATTTCCTCCTGAGCGATAAACCGCGGCAACGGCTGCTACCGTATATGCTTACCGTACGTTGCTTTGCATATCTAAAGTGAAAAATTGAGGCGCAATGTTCTGCTAGCGTTTTCACGGCTACGGTGTTGCTGATTATTTATGAGCTGCGTCATTTATTATGTTTTGGGTTCATACGTAACGTTATTCGCGCCTTGAAATGACACTGGAAATGATCTTTAAGGTCACGGAATATGGTAGTTTTCATTTTGAATATTATAATTTTCGAATCAAGAGAAATGAATGGGAAAAGTGAAAGAAGTATTAATATTTTACACTTACTCGGAATCATTTCTTTTTACACTATGTAACAATAATGATAGTAAAAATGTATATCCTACCAATCACTGGTTATATTAGTAAAAAAAATAGTAATGAATTGACGAGTGTATATAAATTCACGCGCGCACCCATTATAAATGAACAACACAAAGAAAATCGATTTCCGCGTTAACACCTTTCTCTTTGCTCTCGATAGGAGCATTGTAAACCACAACCGGGCGTAAGGAAAAACGCGTTCCCCCCTTCCTCCCCCGCCCAAAAAAAAAAAAAAAAAAAAAATTACCTTTAAAAACAAGACTGCGAAACTGCGCGCTCATAGTTCACGTATCACAAACAACGCACCGATGCTTATCGCACCCGTCGTGCACATAACACACCGCCCATAAGCGCACACTTTTCGCGGGCGTGGCGTTCTCGCACTGCACATATAGAGCACTCCATGCACGCCGTTTTCGAGCCTGTCCGTAAGTACATACGCACACAGCCCCGCAAGCGAAAAAACTTTTCGCACAAACCCCAGCGCTCGTGTGCGCGTATACGCTCGTTATTTTATATAATATATTCATTGAAAAAGCTGACGGCCCGGCGGTGCTCGGAAAAGTTACCGCTCGGGTCTCACCGCACCCGTTACGCACTTCATGAATCAGAGTGCGCGCGGCGAGATGAAAATTACGCGACCCCCGCGTCGAGGAAGAGAATTAGGGGGCTAGCTGTCGTGGGTGCCGGCTGTTGGTGTGTGCGACGTCGGGGAATCGGACAATGTATATGAGAGGGAGGCAATACGTTACACGCGATGATTTTGGCTATTCGTGTCTCGAGCGATGGGTAAGGCGCGCGCGTGGAGTTGGGCGATAAAAGAAAGAAAAATTTCACGAGCCATTGATCGCGATTTATCGGGAGTTCCATGAATCAAGCGTCGATTTTTTTTTTTTTTTTTTTTTTTCTTCCTTCCGTGGTAATAAATACAGCGAGAAACAAATCGCGGATAAATCACGAGTCTTCGGGTAATCTTCGAGCTGGGAAATATTTATGAAAGTTGGAAATTTATCGCGCCGATGGGAGAACGTTTACACCCGTGATTATTATTCAACTTTTGTACTGAATTGAATTTGTGATTTACAAGATGTTGATGAAAAATTAAATCTCGATGACTTTTGTCAGCGCATAATCATATATTGTTCCACGTTAAAATTACGGGACCGTTTCGATGTTAATAAACGCTCAAGCGCGAAAGTGGGTACTGAATTCAAAAAAGTCTCATTTCAAGGGTGGAAAAGTTCCCCGGTTATGAGCCCTGAATCACGTGGAAAGGGAATATAAAGGCGTTACGAAACGAAATGCCGCGTACCATGTATAATACTATATGCGCCGAGCAGCAGTCGCGGTCAAACGAGCAAGTGGTACATATGTATTCTTCAATTATTCAGCGTCAAATCACAACACGAGCGCCACAACAAAACGCATCCACGGGAGGGGCATTTCATGTCATCAAAGTGCAGTATATGCGGGGTATTCGAAATTGAAATGTATTATACTCGCGGTTACGTTTGAGTGAATAATGTAAGCAGCTCGAATTATGATGGTCCCAGTTGTGTTTAATGTGAATTCGCGATGATGATTTAGCGGTACGACAAAGCCATGCTTTTGAAAAGATGAAATACACATTTTGCAAAAAACAAATGTGGAATGATCCTCCGTATAACTAATTGCCTACTAATGTCATATACGTGCGAGGGTGCATTTAATTCATGTGTATCGTATAAAAGAGGCCTCGGCTTGTTTACTTCCATAAGATAATTATTCAGTGTGATTTTCTATACAAACAAAATTTATTTATTTTACATCTTTACCTTCAATTAAATATTGGTAGGAAAAAAAAAACAATTTTTACAATAAATAATTTACTTAATATTGTAAAAACACATGTAAAAACCGAGGTAAGAACTTAACTAGATGAGAGTTGTTTTTATATATTTGGCACATCAATCAAAAGAAATTTTTAATCACTCGATCTAATCACTTGAAGTTTTCTTTAATATTTATGACATGGGCAATTTTTGTTTTTGAAAATCGATGACTTTATTGTGGAATGTTAATTCATCACGGTACTGAAAAAAAAAACGTTTTGTTTAAATTATTTTTGACATTTAGGCCAACAAGGTAGTATTTTTTAAAGTACAAAAATAGTTTTTTAATAAATTAATAATAATGGTAATTAGAGTTCGTTTTCAAGTATTCACACATAAGCCTTGTCCTGTGTCATTTTATTTATCTGGTAATCACATTTTCTCATTATCGATATGTTTATTAAATAAAACAAAACTTTGCGAAAGATTTGAAATCTCTCTGAAAACAAATTGAATTCTTTAAAACCTTATATTACACGTGAGAAAAAACATCGGTGATGTTTCTATTATTTCTCAATGTACGTAATTAATATTTATAAGCTTATTAACAATTATTCGAAAAAGATCCTACTTACATAGGTTTAAGGAAAAAATTATTGTCTTTTGAATTATATTTTAAATTGGTACTATTATCAAAAATACTATAACCTTCCATTTGTGAGAAATAATCTTACACGCACGTTCCATTAAAAAAGATAAATTACGATTTGAAACAAATCATACGGGTAATTAATACTATGCTTGAGAAAATATTCCAACTGCAATAATAATAGTAATAATTTTCATCCATCAGCAGAATTCAATGAAACGTTACGTTTTTTTTTTTTTGCAGGGATCATTCGTAGCTCGTACATCCTACACTACGAGCCGGCCTGGTACGATGCATCCGTGCTGCGCCGACACCGAGATCGAGTGCGCCGTGACGCTTCGTGGCTCGCGAAGGATCAGCCGCTTATCCTGCGAGTCCGCGCCCTCGACAAGTGAGTATTACCCCCGTGTATACATGTACAGCTTCATACATCACGTATGTGTATAGGTACGTTCCATTGCAGTCCTGCTCCCTGACATGTCGGGCCCCCGTACTATATGTACTTATAGGTACTATGACCTTTTTTTTTCCTGATGTCCTTGTGTTTTTGGTTGCAATCGGAAATTGTGTCGTTTATCACTAGAAAAAATTTTTGCAATAATTTTTTTCTCAACTCAGAAAGATAACTCATGTTAAAACGTTAATGCCACAACCTTTGAAAATAAAATTGTTCTGTGCTGTGCAAAATTTGCAAACAAAACATTTCTCTACTAAAATGATTCAAAAAAAACGAAGCAGAAACTATTACGTATAAATCCAAAAGTATGATCGTCACAATACTGATTGCAATAACTTGGCACGATTGGAAAAAAAAAAAAAAATACACGTAATTTGTTATTAACAGAACTCGGATTTGGCTACGTAAATTTAATTTGATTAAAATCCTCTGATATCTTAAATCATGAGGAAGTCTTTGTGATCGGCATGAATAAACGTAAGTAAGCCTTATTTTACATAAATACTACGTACACTGCAGCCAATTGATTTTCCATCGATCTCCATCTCTAATAAGCTACAAAGATGTTTTCATCCTGTAATAAGTGTATACATTTATACGTACACAAAGAAAAAGGCTTAAACGACCCCGAAGCTTCCCCAACGCGTATAATCCCCAAGGAGTTACAAAGTTAAGCCTCCATCCCGCCGAATACAACCCAAAGACGTCGCTTTGGAGCGGCGATTAGCCGTGTTCCAAACTCCTGTAAGCGATTCCCCTCGCAGGCACCGTCCCCTCCTCCCCCGCGAACAATCAAATTTTTTTAACTATCTCTGGGAAAGCCAAGCGCAAAAAAAAAACAAGCAGTTAAGTCGTCCGGCGGAGCAAGTAGCGTCCCGTACTAAGTTTAGCGGTGATAGGAAAAAAAAGCACACAAGTACCTAACGGAGTCAACCCTCTAACTCCGGAGGTCTATATGTACGTTTGATGAGAGCCCCTCCGTCGAGCGCCACACAGCCTATATACGTATAAGATAGAGAATGCAGCCCCGAAACTTTGGTCTCCGAAGTTCGGTCAACATGTCGGTCGGAAAAGTACGGGGGGAAAAGAAACGAGGGGGGGGGGGGTAAGTAGTCGTCCAGTCACGTCCGGGGAACTTGGACCGCAACTCGATTGGGCCTCATTAGCAAAATCGACTGCATGTGCGGTCGAGGCGAGGCACGGGCTCCGAAGAAGATAGTACACTCGCTCATCCGAAGCCGATCTTCGAGTTTTATCGCGTAGAGAGAGAGAGAGAGAGAGAGATAGTCCGTCTCCTCCTTCTCTCGCGCGCGTACCGAGCTTTCGAACTTTTAGCGCCCGTGGAATACTTTGCGGGAATCGTGCTCCACGAGGAAAATGAGAAAAGCTGCGTTGCCTTTTTTAGGTTGTCGGACTCGCGCGCTAAGAGCTCGTAGGATTAATCGGGTTGATGGAGGAGTCGGCGTTGGTGGTTCTTCTTGTTGTTGTTGTTTTGCAGCTTTAATACCCCTAAAGAAGCAGCTCCCCTATATTTTTTATTCCTCTTTCCTTGAGGATTTTACATTACCTGCGAGTGCAATCCATCGTTTGCATCGCATATTGGCAATATACTATTGCCAGATTTGGGTACGATGAGTTTCTTCGATACTTCGAAATATGATTGTTTCCAGGCAATATGAGTACTTACTTTTTTCCAATATTTCGATATTTTCTTCAAAATACAATACACATTGCGGTTGCTTTTCTCCAGCAACGGGTTACAAGTCGTGGTAAAAAAACATTATCCAGCCCAACTGATTTATTGTATTTTCTGAAAAAAATATTAACGCGTGGTGATAAAAAAAAAAAAAAAAAAAAAAAGTATCCGCTCATTTAGGCCATTATTCATCATTTAGTTCAATTATCGCCACGAGTCGCATTTCGCGCTGTTCCTCGTTGGCGTGCGGTGCTCTTTGTTCGGAAAAGGAATACACGGCGTAAAACGAGAAATTACATGACAAATGAATATGTGTATATTATATATATATAGAGCTCGAGACAAATATTTGGAAACGGCGCAGCCAATTCGAGTCCATTCATCCCGAAGAGCCACAAAGAGCATCGGCATCAGCAACAGTACGTGTAGTATTCGACTCTTTGGTGATGTCTCGCGTACTATACATACACCGACGCAGTAGTGGTAGAATGTCAGATCAAAGAGTTTCCTCTCGCTTCGGTCTCGATCGCGTCACGCGCCGACGCCCGCGAATTTATTCCCACCGGCATACGCGGTGCCTCGAGTGCTAATTCCCTAATTGACTTTCGGCTCATCCGGCGCACCGAACAGAGTGAAGGAAAAAGGAATACACGTCAAAGAAGCGTCGGATTCCCGGCTTTGACAATAATTAGGGGGTAAGGGGGGTGGGGCGATCGAAAAGCGCATAAAGCTCGCAGCGTGTGCAGGTCCCATTATCGGCTGACAGGCGTGTATATACGTATGAAAATCCTCGAGGCGTGCATATATATATATACACGTGCATCCGTTGTGGTGGCGAGCTGATAGATATATACGGTGGAAAAAAACAACAATAACCAACGAGAGTCCCACGCGGCTCAGCTCTCGGGCGTCGACGTGTAAATTTCCACTTTGTTTCGTCGCCTCCTCCCGAGTGTGTGTGCCATGTATACAAGCATCGGACAAAGACAGAGTTTGGGTCACCCATGTATTGGTAGGTACACGAGGAAGCGGAATTGCAGTGTTAAGCTAGAGTCGTTTGTGGGGGAAAAAAAAGTACAATGTGTGCTTGCGGTTAAGTCAGCCGAAAGGTGTCAAAGGTGGGTTGTTGATTGTTTTTGTTTGAGGTCGCGTTTTAGGGGTGAGCTAGCGGTGATGAGGTCGATCGTGAAGGTACACATTTTTTTTCCCCAACGTGTATATATATTAAATTACTTAATCCATTACCCATTCTCTGATGCGGGTAAATCAGGAGGTGAGATATACTATGAATTTTTGTCAACGAGTTTGATAGGTTACTCAAGTACTTCGGATTTCATCATCAATTTCGATTATTTTTACTATTAGCTTATTACAGCGTATCATCATCAGTTTACTTGTAATCCATTAACAGCTTGTCGTCATTTGTCAATGCTTGTGACACAAAAAAACTGTTTTCATCGCTAATCATACGAATTAATCACCTTTTATATATATATCTATTACCAGTAAACCACTTAATCATCGTTTATAAAATCTTATCTAATATATCGCTCACTGTCCATTACAACATTGAATCACCATCGCTTAACATTTAAACGTGTATTACTGGCCATTAGCGTTTATCACAAATTTAATTACTACTGCTTATCATTTTTTAACGTGATTTTCTTGTTTGTTTTAAGAAAATTTTTTTATTTTTATCACTGCTCATTACTGCTTATCAAACTTTCGTTGTTTACATTTTTTTTGTTTGTCTGCTTGTTATAGAATCATAAGAATACAGTATATTATCTTTTAGAGTATAATGTGTGTACAGACATGCGTATGAATAATAAGCAAGATGCCTCTTACTGCAGGAGCCTTCAATTATCGGGTTTACCAGGATTCGTTTTATCGGGGAAAAGCGTAAATTCCTAGCTAATTGTGTCTCTTCCTATTCGCACGTATACTCGTGCACAATAAAGCTCTACAAGCGACCTCGATCCATCTCCTTCTTCGGGTAGAAGTGCAACCCCCGTGTACACGTACGTCGTACGTAACTAGACTCGCTATGGATTTTCCCGATGGCGACGACGTCCGTAGCACCAGCAGTAAGCATTTGTCGCCCTTCCATTCCTACGTTTCGTCTTCGATTTCGCCGGCAGCATTTGAAATATATATAGAGAGAGAGAGGGTGCGCCTCTACACTTACCACCCCCTGTACCTTTCTTCCCGTACTTACACATACTCGCGTGTGTTCTCTCTATGCCTATACACAGGTGCCACACCTTTTGTTCTCTCATATGTCCCGATGTGTAGATATATATATACACGTCTACCTACGTGTGCGCCTACATATATAAGGTCGACGACGCGTGCTCTACTTTTCGCGTGTACACAACTATATATGTAAGTGTACTGGTGCATGTAGGGTACAGGTGGTACATACAGCCTATCCGTGAAAATCCGAAACCTCTGTATCCCACTGCCGCGGGGACACTTTCGTTTCCTTTAAAGTTCTTGTGAGAAGAAAAGTCTTGTTATGAAAGAAAATGCAGCGCTCGGGTTTACTTATCGCTCTCTCGCGTACTCGTGCATCTCCCTCTGTCTCTCCGATTCTTTGTCGCGTAGGCGTTTTCTCTTCTTCTTCCTCTTCCTTTTAACCCTCCCTCGACTCTTCCGATTTTTTATTTTCTACCTATACATCAGGGACACAAATGTACAGGTATAGTAGGTATACAAAGGGTGCGTTGTTCGAATACTCGAGTGAACTAACGATGCTCTCGTACGATTCGACTTGCGTTGCGCTATATATAATGTATCATTATCTCCGGGTAATGGCAAAACTTTGCACGGATGGTATATTGTTTCTTTGGCAACTTGTTGAATACCGATGCAAAGGAGTTTTTCGCCAAACGCACGCATCTTACAACAAAAAAAAAAAAAAAAACAATGGAGCCAGGTTTCTCGACCCTGGATACTCGAGGTAATCAAAATTCACTTCCGCGCCTCCGCACCGCGAAGTGTAGCGAGCCTTTCGTCGAACGGTACACGAGGCTTTACGAGGCGCGTGATGTTTCTCCCTCTGTCCCTCGGTATATAAGCTTTCACCTCGCGCAATAACTCAGGGCCCCATAAAATAAGCCGATCGATCAGCCGGTCAATCAAGCCATTGTGTGTGTGTGTGTCCCGTCTTTCACCTCACCGCCGGTCGAGCGAATATGTCTTTCGACTCGATCGCTCCTATCTCCCCTCTCTC